AATACTCATTCACACTAGTATATTATCAGATTATAATCTCTGTATCAATTGATAATCATAAAAATAAAATCGGAAATAAAAGGGAGAGTATAAGCAGACAAAAGTTTCATTACAATGTTGGTTATGATGGCAATTTTTTCGACTTCCGTCGCAGAAAATTATCCGATGATGGAAATTAAATTCTGCAAGTGTATAGAACATGCATTCTAAATGCCAAAATAGCCCCGATATCGATCGGGTATCGTCGGTTGTTCGAGGGGTAGGATACCTCGTACAGCTATTCCAAACATGACGTCGTCCTACTATTGTACAATCGGTTGCTCGCTTCGCAGAAGCCCTAACGCTGCAAACGGTAATTAGTTTTATCAAGTTATTTAATTTAATTTATTTATTTTTATTTGAGCCGATCGAAGTGTGTAACGGAAATCGGTCTCGAATTATATATTTTTCTTAGATTTTAATTACTGATTGATTTTCAGGTATTGAATTGGCAGATGGGAATATGCTTCTAAGATGCTTAGATGAATGTTCTAAAGTGGATGATCTCAAAGCATGATAGAGTAATGTAGTTATCTATCAAGGGGGATTAAATAATCAATAGCTTCATGAGATGTAATTATCATGTTTAATATTCTTATGTAGTTATTCGGATAACATAATATAAGCAAAGAGATTATTATTATTATTGTTCCTTTTTTCTTTTTTATGGGTAACTTCTTGTTTGGGTAATTATAGCCGTCCCCTTCTTTTAAATATTTTTACATAAAATTTATGTAACTCGGTTATTACCGAACCAAATCGTATATTCAGTTCGGTAAACGGTATGAAATGTTGGCGTACCGAAATTTCGGTTCGGTGTTATCGATTTAACATCCCTAGATTTAGCTCTGAAGGGGTTCTTTTGTAAAATAATACATAATTGAGGGGGGTGAATTTAGTTACCCAAATATGAATGGGTTTTTTTTTTATCTTGATAACATTAATATTTTCAATCTTCTATTTATGAGGTTTATAATAACAAATAATTTATTTACGAGTATACCTACACTCTTTTATAATAGCTGACAAACCATACGAGAGGCATAAATCACACTAGACTAACCATGTGTTACAAACTCGACCTAACGACCGTCTGCACGAACATTCGAATTTGGTCATACAAGTTCATTTGCTCCAACCACTAAGCCGTCCTTTGGAGAACAAAATTATTTCTCATAGTTTGTTTAGCATCACATTGTATATATAATATATAGCACGAGTTTGGGTTGGTTTTTTTAACCAAAATCAAACATCGAGAGAATATTGCATAGTTTTCTAAATTCAAGGGGTCTAACTACAATTCTGTAAGTCTAGAGGCAGTGATATAATGTATTATTTATTTATTTATTAATTTACATGGTAAAATCTTCTTTTTTGGAAATATCTCTTATAAAATATTCAAATGTTATCAAAGAAAAAGTCAATCTTTAAATTATTTCAAAATAACTTAGTACATAATATTTAACGTTCCCAATTAGACAGTTAATCTATTTTGGAATACAATAATACACTATTTTCAATTGGTCAATGATTATGTACATAGTTAAGGAAATAAAATTAATTAACCGAGGAAAAAATAAATATGGAATTGAAATCAAATCAATCAACAATCTTATCCCATCATTATTAATAAATAAAATTATGATAATATATATCACATACAATAATCTTTTATAAAAAGAAATTAACTCTTAGAATTTTGCTCAAGAACAAAAAAAAAAATGGAGATGAAGCAAACACATATTTGCATCACATTGATATATATGGTAGCTATTTTTGCAAATTGTATCGAAGCAGAAGAAAAAGTTTCGACAAGCGGAAGTTCGGCATATTGTATAAGAACATGTAATTTCATCTGCAGAAATAGGCCGGATTTCAATAAATGTGTAACCGATTGTGCCGAAGATCGATGTTTGCCACCTAAGCTTGGTTCGATTACATCATTGTCGTTCTATTGTAATCTCGGTTGTTCCCTTCACAAATGCACCGATACTATCAAAGGTACTTCGTCTCTTTCTTTTGGGTTTATTGCATTCAGCACCATTGTAAATTTAACACTTTTGGTTATTTTCATCAATTTACCCTTGGCCCGTCAGTTAAGTCAGTGAAAAGCACGCGCTTGATTCCGTTAGTGCTACCGGAAATTTGACGGAAAGGACTAAAAGTGCTGAACTTTTGAAACAATGAGGGACCAAATGTGTCTTTTGTGAACATTGTGGACCAAATGTGCAATCGGTGCAAACTCGATGGACAAAAACTGAATTTTTCCCAAAGTAGAAATTCACTATTTAGGTGGTTGTACTTGTATGCTAAAAAAATGAATTATATGGTTGCGTTTTGCTAATATTAATAACATGTGGAGTTTTTAGCAATTTGATATAACATAGGGGCGTTAATTGCAATAAATTATTCTTTATTTCTCTAAATTAATTCGTTTTTTTTCATATGATTTGCAGATGTAAATGCACTTCTTGGATGCTTAGATGAATGCTTGAAGGTGGATTGCAAAGCATGAAAATTAACTAAGTAATCAGGAGAATATAATAAGAAGATTATTCAGGCTATCCTATTTCAGTTATTTAATATATATTAATATTATGTATGATTCATTGATTTGGACAAAGTTATATGCAAAATGAAATTTCATCCAATAGAGCGAAATATGAGAAAATATTAATGGTAATGTATGAAAAATATACATATTATATACCCCTAAGCACATAATTGCAATTAGCCAATTACTCAAAACAAATCTCCAAAATAACTAAATAAAATCCCATTGATCACCGAAAATCTGGTGCTATAGTTGACCAATTGTTTAAAAAACGAGAAATTTACAGTTTCCACTACTCAATATTGCAACAATTTCACATTTGGTCCCTCATGTTCATAAAAAACACATTTGGTCCTCATGTTTGAATAATTTAACATTTTTTGTCAATTCCGTCAGTTCACTGTTAGTCCGTCAGTCACGGCAGTGATAGGCACACGTTTGATTCCGTTAGCCTTACCGGAAAATTGACGAAAATGACTAAAAATGTTGATTTTTTTAAACACGAGGGACCAAATGTGTTTTTTGTGAACATGGGGACCAAATGTGAAATCGGTGCAAACTTGAGAGATGAAAATTGTATTTTTCCCTTTTAAAACCAATATCTTGGTCAACGATTACTTACATGGATTTAGGAAAATTAAAATAAATTGACTTAACCCCTCACACACGCATATAAAGAGGAATTAAGTTATATTATAATTTATCAAGAAGAATAAAAAATGAAGAGAGATTATATAATTCTGCTAATTTTAGCAGCAATATTTATAAATTGTATAAATGCAGAACCGCCGTTTAATCCCGGTTTAAATTGCCCCACAAAATGTCGGGATGAATGCTTGAATAAACCGGATCAGAATGAATGTTACATCGATTGTTTGACAGGTTGTTTGCCTCCCAAGGGTGATTCAGTTAATACGTCGTCGTATTATTGCAACATTGGTTGTTCTCTTCATAAATGCACCAATGCCCTCAATGGTTCCCCTCTCTCTCTCTCTCTCTCTCTCTCTCTCTCTCTCTCTCTCTCTCTCATACACACACACACACAAACACGCACAAATAAATAAATAAATATAGGAAAATTACAGTTTTGTCCTTGAAGTTTGCACCGATTTCACATTTGGTCCTCATCGTTCATAAAAAAATAAATTCGGTCCCTCATGTTTCAACAATTTGACACTTTTGGTCATTTTCGTCAATTTACTCTTAGTCTGTCAGTTAGTATTAACGGAAAATTAACAGAAATTGCCAAAAATATAATATTATTAAAACACGAGGGACTAAATTTATTTTTTGTCAACATAAGAGACCAAATGTGAAATTGAGCTAAACTTGAGGGACGAAAAATGTAATTTTTCCAATAAATATATGTGTATTCTTGTTGTTTATTACTGATTGGTTTTATATAATTGGCAGATGAAAGTCTAGTGCAAAAATGCTTGGATGAATGCTCAAACGTGGATTGCAAAGCATGAAGATTCTCTACTAAGTACTAATGCATCATTAGCTACTAATTAATTAGTTACTTAATTAGAATAAATTAAATAAGAATAATAGCTTCATGAGATTTTATATTTAATAGTTGCAATTTATGTTCTTA